GCCTGCTTTTATGGTGCAGTTACACTTCGGCCCATAATTTCACTTTTTGTAAATCGTTTCTTCTCTCTGTTGTTGTCCGTCTGTCTGTGTCTGTATGTGTGTCTGTCTGTCACGAAATTGAGTGCTAGAGAGTCCGAAAGCACGAGCAAGGGCTAACGAGAAGGCAAGTCAAATAATCGTGGTGGTCTGGGCTGAATTTGCATATTTCGGCCTCACTGTTCCATATCGCCACGGAACCGTGTTGTGCGCGACACGGCGCCGGCTGGAAATCGTAGAAATCTTCACAGTTAGATATTTTTTGTTTTGATCTTCTTTAATCCCAATTCACAGTTCAAAAGACATGCCTCATGAGCCGTAAAATCCTTGCAATGATCTGCTTTTTTTGTTCAAGTATTCTTAAATCCTGATTGACGATTCTGAAGGCATGCCTCATGAACTATGATTTTATTCAAAACTTTATTCAAACTTTAATCAACAAAACCATCGAAATTCTCATCATCAACAAAAACAAGTCCGGGCGGAGCAGGCAGGTTTTGTCCTTCGGATGTTGCTGTGCGAATTGATAGGTTTTTCCTCTCCATAAAGCTATGGCACCAATGAGGGGTCCCTTGAAAATCATCCAACTGTAGTCTTCTTGCGATCTTTCTTGCTTCTCTAATGATCCGAGTAGTAGAAACTTGTGCTCCTTTGCTTCTCTCCAATCGCACCCAAGTATTCAGCTCATTTTCCAGCTCGGGCCAGGCTTCTTTCTTTCCACGGTTTGCGCGCTTTTTCGATGGCATCTCTCTGATTTTATTTTCAGCCTTTTTCCATCTTCTGATCATTCGTTTGTCCTTAATCCCGTAATGTTCCGCAGCCTCGACAACTCCATGTTCATTTGCGTAGTCAATCACGGAGACCTTGAATTTCGCCGTGTAGGAGGAACGCTTCTTCTTCAAAGCCATCTGAGAGTGAAAAAGGCTAAGATTCAATAATTCCGTCAATGACCCGAAATATTCAGAATCATCGGAAGCGGTGAAACTACCTACCTTGGTAATTGCGTCACGTTGCTGGCTGGATGCAGAGCACGTGATCTTGGGGCGCGTTTATAGTTCGCTGCTCTGCTCACAGTGGAGTATTGATTGCCCTGGCGCCGGCACCGAGCGATCAGTACTCCACTGTGAGCCAGCAGGGGACCGCACCGGACTAGTCATTGATGCGATCGCGAGTAGCATGCATAGTGCGTGCAGAATCGCGAACTATAAACGCGTTTCCACGTTTCCAGTCACTGTGCTTGCATTGTGCTGATGTGCGCACCTTTGCTAGCAGAATGCACCAATATTGCTGAAAAATACAAACACTTTCAGCATCCATCTCTACAGGGTGCGCGCGCAACCTGACCGAAATATGCAAATTCGGCCCTGACCACCACGATTATTTGACTTGCTCCTTCTCGTTAGCCCTTGTCTGTGTTTTCGGACTCTCTAGCACTCAATTTCGTGACAGACAGACACACATACAGACAGACAGACGGACAACAGAGAGAAGAAACGATTTACAAAAAGTGAAATTATGGGCCGAATAGTAACTGCACCATAAAAGCAGGCGTGCGATCACGGTAGTCCCCAACGGTACGCAAATACACTGCGCGAGCGGAGGTGCATTTACGCGAAATCGGCGCGGGCTTATACACCGGAAATTAGGGTAACGTCATCTGCCGCCACTCTCGAGCACGTCGTAATGGTCTATGGTACCTCGACGACCTCGTTGAGCTCGTACCGTGAACCATGTTTCCGTGGGAAAATCTTCTGATGTCGTCGGTGTAGAAGGCTGTCATGTAACTTTTAGATAGATTAGAATGTGCTCTTTAATACTGAGTTGGGGCAGTCGATTTGATTCTAGCAAAGTGTGATTAATGCTGTCTGAAATGTGGAGTCAAGTGTCTCTTTTTTTGGCCACCCCTGTATGTGAAACACGCAGCCTTCTCGTTGACAAAGCACCACTCTGACCACTGCGAAATCAAAAACACATGAATAAAAACCATTGCTCACAATATTTATCAGGAAAGCCATGGAATAAACTGTATGTGATATCCCATAAACAAAATTAGCGAAACTTTAAAATCAGATTAAATTCGCTGTAGAAAACTTATACGATGCTATCAAAGAAATCGTAACATGCAAACCAAGGAAAAGAGTATCGAAGCGATCATCGGGAAAATCATGGATGGGGCATCCTTCAGTTGCAACTAAAAAACCAACAGATCACTATAAAATCAAACGACAACAAGCCGAACTACCAAGGAAAAACAAGAAGCAAGAAAGTCGAGGATCAGTCGAATGAATGGAAGTTGACGAAAATTTTCAGTGGGCTAACCTAGCTGATATACTGTCCAGGTACTCCTTACACTGGACGATTGTGGTCAGCAGTTAGGCTATCCATCATTTGTAGTAGTGTTGGAATGGCACGTAGGAACATCACCCAAATTTTAGTGTGCAATACTTCGACAATATTATCCTTGCACCTAATTCTGAGGAGTGATTCATTACCTTGACAAACGCGCGCCACTTCCAGCTATCGAGCCAATAATCAACAAACTTAAAGATCACAGAAAATTCATGAGCAGGCACTATAGGGGGTGGGAGAATCAGCAATTTCTCCCATAGGCGATGGAATTGAGGTGGCAATAATGAAAGCATCAATTAGACGATAAAGGTACCAACTGCACGGTTTTTACTCACAGTGGCTCGAAGTCTCAGCTCGTCGTGTTTTCGTGTTATATAACATTACTAACGTTTTTTTCAGAAGAAGTTCTCATAATTCTCTGCTCACTCTTTCAGTTGGATGTGCATTTCTGTCATCGCTGCAATAATCGCTGGAAGCTCGAATTCGATGAAGAAGTCGTATTTAGCTGACATAGGGCATTTCGGAAAGAATTAGGACCTCTAGAATTTTTTGCAGAATTCGAAAGCCATCGGTATAACTTCCTGTATGTCAGCTCCAATCATCGGGAATGACGGCATACATCAACGGTAGGGCATTACCTCCTCAAAATTTTCCGAGAATCGAATAAAATCGTGATAGAAGGACCACGACTCACTTCATTTGCGATTTGCTTATAGCGGCCTACAATTCTATTTTCAAAATTTGAGTAATAAAAGTGGGGCAGAACTTCACTTCGTACTAACTACAAAAATTTCATAATTTATTATAATCAATTAGAATGAATTTAATTCAAAATTA